GCTATTTAACACACATATTATATATTTATACCTAAGCCTAAACAATAAAACAAATTCATAGTGTAGCTATAAAACGCAGATAGTATTTAGTATATAGTACATAGATATATATATATATATATTTTTGGTATTGTCTGTAGTAAGCAGTTCTCCAACAACCGTCAGTTTTGTCCTTCAATATACATAAATGTCTTTTTCTATGTTCTACTATTTAAATTGTAATGTTTTTTTGTCTCGTCTTTTATGTTTTAATGTTTTTACGCTAAGTTTGACTAAGCTAGTTGGTAAGTTAAGTTAACAAGAGAGATGCTAATAACTTTAATCATTTAATTTCCTCTTTATTGTGCTTTGTTTTTTTTTTTAATTTTTTCAACTATCAATTTTATGTCATCGCGCTCTCATGCATTAAGCATTAATCTAATGAAATACATATGATATTTTTACATAATTAAGTCGAGTCTTGGATTTTGATTGGGCGTTTTGGAAAATTTTGGGGAAGGGGGTGTGGCTTTTTGTTGCAGAAATGAAAAGTTAAATGATAAATAAATGGTATAATAAGTTTAAAGTTCATCAGAAACTAAGTACCTATAATAACAAGCAGAATTTAAGTTATTCACAAAATTGCACATTTTTTTTGTTTAAAAAATTTTAATGATTTTTGAATACTCAAAAGCTAAACAAGCAACTTTGCATTTTAATTAAATAAATTTAAATTTTAAAATTAAAAAGCATTCATTTTCAAAACAGTCATCAATATGTAGAAATATCCCTCAAAAATTCACAAAAAAAAATTACTCCGAAAGTGTTTTTTGCAGAAAGAAAATTTTATTTTTCCAAGCCAATTGATGGGGAATTTTGGCCAAAACAAAGTGATAATTTTTCAGAGTGCTGTAACGGTTTTTGGTAGCCACTTGCCGAAAAAGTAAAAGTAAAAAAACAGAAGACTTGGGAGTTCGGTAACACGAGGCTGGTCAAAGGAAAAAAAAAGGAAAATTAACATTATGTAGTAAAATAACATTTAAATATAAACTGGTCAGTCAAGCTGATATCAACGTAGTGTGGTGAATAACATTTAAATATAACGGGTCAGTTCAGCTGATTTGCTATAAAAACTTAGTTAGCGGGGAGTAACTCCGCGGGGACAAGTTTAACATTTCTGTTAGAAACCGATATATTTCAACATTTAATGATGGAAGAATATCGTTGATGCACTGCTTAATAAGTCGTTGAACATTATCGTTGTCAGAACTACCAAAATCAAGCAAACACGATTATATAGCGGTTTATTGTTATGGCTTGCAAGCGAAAAGTGGGAAACAACAGTTATAATACAAAAAATAATTGTTTCATAGTTTAATGCATTTATATAGCCAAAGAGTTTTTGCATTTTAAATCCTTTCAAAGTAAAATTTATTTAATCCCATTTTAAAATTTCCGTTACTTTTAATTTATATTTTTCGTCATTTAGCTTATTCGGTACTTTGTGATAGCTAAAGTTTAAGAATTTAAGTTATTTTCGTTAGTTTTCATATCAAAATTAAAACAAAGTATCGCTGATATTCTTAACCTAAATGCATGTCCTCAAGTGTAAGCGGTCGTTCTGCGTTATTGCTCTGATTGCTCCGATATCGATAGGAAACTCACGTAAGTGTAGGCAGGGTTTAACAGACATAATACGTACTGAAGTGGAATCGTTACAGTGTTAGGGATGGGACAGCATCGATGATGCCTTGCCAAACACCGATATTAAAGAATATATCGATGGAATCGATATGGGCATTGACGCTTTCCCATCACTATTGTTTTTTTCTTGCTCTCGGCCAAATAATGCCAGTATCGCGCACCGCCGTCATAAAAAACCGACACTAAGAACAGCCCGTGTAACAAATACACTAAATGCGTTAAGAAAACAACAACCCTTAAAACACAAGGGCGTATTACAGAGTGTTCGGAGCGGCAAACAAATAAAGCATATAACAACGACATCGCGTCGCTTTCTGCTGGCCAAATAAAAATCAAAATTAACCGTCTTTAGCGCGTAAAACTATATATTTAGAATTTAAAACAAAATGTAAGTGAAAAAACGATCGAAATATTGGAAATGATACATTAAAGAACTAGACTTGTGGAAATGTGCCTTAGTGTGTGTGTGTTTTTAACAGTTACGTCTGGCATAGATAACCGTTTTCCCTCTTTTCCCCTCTCTCCCTCTTTTTTCCTTCCATTTTCCATTGCTAGCTTAGCTGTACATTGTGTGCGAGGGAAAAAGAGCTAACAGACAGCAATGCGATCTCTCATCCTCTCTCTTGCTCTCTCTGCACAATTGGAAAAAACAATAACAATAGAAAAAAAACATATGAAACTGCAAATTGCCAAGTTAAATATTTAAACGCAGTTTTTAGTTGCGATGTCCTTGACATAATTGCAGTTTTTTGTTGCGGCCATCGATTATTTCAGCCTCACTTCCCCTCCCTATCTATCCTTCCCACGATGGGGTTGTTGTTGTTCTTGTCTGCGGTCTATTATCATTCCAATGTGAGCGTTACTGATAAGGAGGACAAAAATATAAAAGTATTAAGCGAGGTGCAGGCTTCAAACCACATCCCCTGAAACTCTTATCCTCTTGGCACTGAGGTTTCTTATTTATTTATAGTGTCTGGAATTTCCTAGGCATTTTCTTCTCCCACAGAGCGATTTATCTCCCCTTCCAAGTTGACCTTCCAGCTGGAAGTCATGCATTAAAAATAGTACAAACACACGGATAACAAAAACAGATTGTCTTAGATCACAGGCGGAGTGAAGGGGACAGCAGGAGGCCAAGTTCATTGTCCTTGATCAGAGTGTGTGAGTGCTAGAGTGGGAGGGAGATGGCCAGGGAAAGTGACTCTCCCCCGTTGACGTGTCACCAATGCATTCAAAGTGCACTGGGTGCGATAGAGAGGGGGCGATCAGTAGCGCAGCGAAGGGGGTGGAATTATAATTATTCTTTCAACCACCCATAAACTTATATAACAACCCCCCAAAAGTATCCCTGGTTTGGTTTTAACTCTTGGTAGAATTCATTTTACTGTCATAGAAAAAATATTCAATTTTAAACATGGATTTATCAATGTACTTTATCATATAGGGGCTGTCTATTTATTACATAAGAAGTAATCATCATTTATTTACATTATCAATAGTAGTTTGCTATCAATAAATAATAAACCAAGTAAAAGTACTAAACATATAATCTTCTTTATGTTCAAATCAAAACGAGATTTATTATTTTAATATTTTTATTTCTGTTAGCAAGAAGTAAAGTGGTCTCTCCAAAGTATCTATGAAAACATTAAGTATGGCAATATTTAATTTCACAAGCTTTCATAAGAATGAAAACAGTTTCTTTAACGGCGATTCGCCGTTTGAATTGGATTTCCTCGATTGAAAATAGGGACAGCTTTTGATAACTAGGGAATTTCCCATTAATCTCGCCAAGTAAGCACTACTGAACCGCCTGTGATTCAAATATTTCCCCCTTTTTTTTTTATTATCATTCTGCAACTTTCACACGCCTATCGATGTGAAACCCTACCCCAAGTTACCCCCTGCCACGCCCCCTTTTGGGTTTTGTAAGTCGCGCCTTAGCCTTATCTCCATTTCACGCTTATCAGCAGTAAGTCGGCTTTAATTATGGTTCGAGGGGCTTGAGTCATGGACTTACGAATGCATACATACTTATATATTTTGGGAAACAAATGTTTGCTATGTATCGGTATTCGGCGTTATCAGCGTTCTGAGTTTTTAGTACCTGCCGAGGGCGGTACCTGCAAGTCAATAGCTTTATCTTTATGCAAACCCGCGAGAAGCGACCGAAATGGTAGCCCAAAGTTGAGTTTTTCTTTTTAGTCGGATCAGTAACCTGTCCGTTGTCAGTCCTCGCTCTACAAATAACATACAATACAGCTATATAGCCATATATTAACCAGTACCGACATCAGTTCTATATATATTTTCTAAGCAAAAAGTGTAAAAAGAAACCGTGTTGGTGTTTTACCATCTCGATGCGGAAGTGTTTGGACTGAGTAAGTTTTCTGGTTACGCTGCTGTGAGTCTCCTATCGAAAAATAGTAGAAAACACCTCTCTATGAGGGAGAATCTTGCAGCGCCGCCGCAAACAAGCAACACTTAACGCCCATAAATTAATTACTACCAAGCACGCCAGAAATAAAAAAACTTAATAAAGAAAAGAAGCGACGAAGAAGGGGCCATGGAATTTCGAATAGATCGTTGGGGCGGATCTAATTAGCAGCCGAAAGGGCCGATCATATTTCTTCTTTTTCAAAAGGGTATTACCATTTTGTGGCTTTAATTTGCAATGCAATAAAGGTTATTCAACATAAATGTTAAACTGCAACGCTAATAAAGTTGAATTTTAGAAATATTATTTCGAATTTTTTTCGTTCATTTATATTGAGAAAACTAAGATGTTTTTTTTTATATTTATAATATAAATATAGAACATCAAATATATAGAATTTTAGGGGTATTTGATAATTCGATCGCTTCTTTTTTCAATTTTTCCGTATGCAGAACGCAACCGAGGGAAGATACATCCAAAATACATGACAGCCCCTATTTATTCCATTCTGTTCTGTGATTGATACGCCCCCAACGAAATGGGTGCGAAAAAGACTCGAAAATAGAAAGGCAATTGGCGGACTGATTAGCCAGGCCCAAAGCCCAATCCCAATTTCAAATCCCAGACGTTGATTAATGGCCTTTAAGCCAAACTGTCGTTGTAGTCATGCAAAAAAAAAAAAAAAAACGCAAAACACCACAAATAAATTACAATTTTATTCAAATTCGAAAAGAACACCAAATACATAAAGGAACGTTTCTAATTAATTATTTTTATCTGTTTTTCTCTCTTGCAGCACTCGTATATAATTCGTATATATATATTTTCTACGACGCTTAAACCAGCTTTTTTTTTGGGTTTAAACTAAAAAACAAGAATTAAAAATTTTCGTTTTTTCCATCGTTTGGAGAGTTTATTTTTTTTTGTTGTGCCAAGTTTTTGTTTTGGTTAAATTTGTGTTGAATTTTGTTGCAAATCGAAGCCGGAGCTACAACACACAGGCAAGGGCACGTGGCTAGTTACGATAGCCGAAAAGATGTTTAGTCCCGAATATGAGAAACGCATCCTCAAGCACTGCAGTCCCGTGGCCAGAAATCTGTTCGACAATCTCGAGTCGTCCACCACGCCCACATCACTCGATCGCTTTATACCCTGCAGGTGAGATTCATAATTAGTTAATTTAAATTTAATTTATTTGGATTTTTAAATTCATTTATTAAAGGTTCTTTTAAAGTCATACATATGTAGTGCATAAATCAAATTAAGCCTACTTTTAATGGTCTTGAAACTTTAAGATAGTTTTTAAATAGTGTTAATTATTGAAATATTGTTTAGCTTTTAGTTATATTTTTTAGTTAATGAAAATTTGTCACTATTCCTTACTTATACAAATTATTTACCAATTTTTTTTTTATTTATTAGAATAATAACCGGGTTTCAGTTTGAAATTAAAAAAAAAAGAAAAATGAAGTGTCCCTCCTTTTTTTTATTTTAGTTTTTCCCAACCTGTTTTTCTATGAGTTACAACATTGTTTGCTGAGTAATATATTGTAATTTATTTTGAGTGCATTGAACTCTGCACAAGCCGTTATTCTTTCAGCTACGTCATCTCTTCCGCTTTCAAGGCGAAAGAACTGGCGAAAAAGAATAAAAACAGCAGCGGATACAAACTACCAACCTACGAATTTCCCGCCTGACTGCGCCTCGTTTAACTAACGGTGATTCAATGTCCGTCGACAAACAACGAACAACGAATATAAACAAACACGAACGACAAACATAACCAGCACAATTTTACATATTTTTGTAAAAGCGGAAAACAGTGGTTTTTAGTGAAAAAGAATGCATTTAAAATAATTATTTTATATTGTATTAAGCATATGTTAGTTTAAATTTGAATTGATTTTAAAAGGGGTTTTTTTAAAGCAGCAATATTTTAGGTAATTTTCTAAAATAAAAAATTTGAATTTAAAACATTTACGTATTTAAAATAGCATTGTAATTATTATTATTCATTAAAATAAGATCCATCTTAGATCTTAGGTATCTTAAAGAAATAATAGTAGATGAGTATTCAAGATTCATCGTTTTTGAAATGTTTTCCAGTTAATTTTCTGAGTTATTTAGTTTTTTGAGGACAAAAACTTATAATTACATATTTGTGGTAGTACATTCTTGACTTGTTATATCTATGAAATACATGTTTGTAGAGTAAATTTAATAAATTCTTAAGTGCATGTTTCCCAGCCACACTCAGTCACAAAAAGAAGGCCCAAAAATGAGCCGAAAATTGGCACCACTGTTGGCCAAAGAACTTGAATATTTCTCCTTCATTCGCTAATGAGTTCCGCGTAGAAAGAAACCATGAAGACGAGTAAAGAAAAAGAGACATTACCAAAAAGACTACAAGACTAAATAAAAACTTAATGGGAAAACAGGGAAATTTGAACTTTGCTGTGTGCCAACTGAAGTTGGAGTTCAACGACAAACACCCCAAAAGACGTGAGAGTTCAGTAAAAAGATGGCCAGAAAGAGAAAAGAGAAATATTTAAACGTTGATACTTAATTAGTTTCCGGTTAGAGAGGGTTTTTTTTTTATTTATTTATTTCAAACTCGATAGAGTTTAAACCCCCTTTTTATTGAATTGTCATTCGTTGAGCCTGCATTTTGTATATACTTTTTGCCTCGTTCAATTTGTGTCCCCCATCTGCTTATGAAATTTGATTTATTCGAGGTGGAAGTGAGCACTTCAAATGCGTTTGCCAGATATAATCAAAAACGGGTGAAGTCGGGGGGCCGAAACAAAAAAACAAATGGAAAAAATGAGACACAGGCAACGCTTATTGCATTCGTAAACAGTTTTTCACAGTGCACAGTGCAATTCTCTCACACTTGGCCAAATTTCATGGCAAATGATTATTATTTTTAGTTGTCGTTTTTCGCAAATTTTGCACAATTCGACCGTCAATAATTTTTTTGCACGTTGCACACGTTTTCTATGTTTTTAATGGGTAGAAATAATAACAATTGTTTTGGTCGCAATAATGGTGGGGAGGGGGAGAGGCGACTGCCAGACGATATGGCTAAATTGAATTTGAACGCGTTTGCATAAGTTTATTTATATTTAGTCTACGTTCTGTGAGCTCCAGTGAATCCATTATGGATTTTACATATAAATTATTTATATAAGGCTAAGTATGTTTTGATGTTGCCTTCTACTCTTTTTTTTCCCATTGTTGCAACGAAACTAAGTTATGGTCAGGGACGTCAAAAAAAGGGGTTAAGTAAAAGATTACTATTACTCTATTTGTTTGCAAAATAAATTTGATTTTAGGCACGTTCTCGCACGTTGAAATTTAAAAATAAGAAGGTTAACCTTATGCGATCAAATAAAATGCCTATTTTCCCGGCAAATACCCGATTATTGAAAAATTTTTAGGTTTTATTTAAGTTTTTTTGATAAGAAAATATAAATAAACCAAATTTAAGAAAATATAGATTTTTAAAACATTTTTAGGTTAGATATAAATCAACCAAATTTAAGAAAATACAGATATATTAAATCTAGCATTTTAGTTTGTGTTCATAGTACTATATTCTAAGATCCCCGATATTATAAACTCCTGGCTACGCCCCAGCTTTTCCTACTCTAGCGTTAATTAATGGCATTTTCATAGAATTAACATTTTCGTGTTCTCCTATCTTTTCCACTCCGGTTTTTCCGCATTTCCCCATTTTCCTCGTTTTCGCCGATCGCAGAGCCAACAACAACTGGCAGACGAACTTCGCGTCGATCAACAAGTCAAATGACAACTCGCCGCAGACGAGCAAGAAGCAGCGGGACTGCGGGGAAACGGCACGCGATAGTCTGGCCTACTCCTGCCTCCTGAAGAACGAGCTCCTGGGATCGGCGATCGACGACGTGAAGACCGCCGGCGAGGAGCGGAACGAGAATGCCTACACGCCGGCCGCCAAGCGGAGTCTCTTCAAGTACCAGTCACCCACCAAGCAGGTGAGTTCATTACTCCATTTCTCCCATTTGATGTTCAATTGGGCAGGTGGAAAATATCATATTGCAAGTGTAGAAAGCTTCTTGGTCACACAATATATAACATATATGCTGGGAATTGTATCTCTAAGCTAAAAAGGTCAGCGAATTTGACTTTCGATTGAGGTTTCTCAGGGGCATTGTGTGCTGCAGAATGAATGCATTTAATTGAATTTGCAGTCGGTGTTAATTGAGGTTTTTCATACACTTCTCAGGGCGAAAAGAAGACGAAATAATTTCAGACAGACATCGAGTTGAATAAACTCCAAGATCAGGTCGTGGGAAATTAAAACTCATACTAATGGGGCTCCTAGGTTAAGGCTGTAATTCATTGAATAATATTAGAAATTAGGTTTCGGGGTTGACTCTACTGGCTTTGTGAGTTTTCTTTTACATTTTTCACACCGAGAAAACTCTTTGAAGCCATCTCCCCTACCCTTTTTCTCTCTATTCAACCATCTATTGATCAATGGAAACCGGTTTATTTTTGTGAAAAGTCTTTGCTTTTGGTCTAGTGGCCTAAGACGAATCGAGAGAAAAGTTGTTCGACCAAAAACACAAGGTTAACACACTCTTTTTTTTTATTTTTTTATTTATTTTTTTTTTTGATTCCAATGCGCGCGTGATGATCGCCAACGTGTTTCTATATGGTACATAGATCTCGATCTCCATCTCCATCGCCATGTAATTGTATACATATATATACATGTATAGACATATAACTGGTGGACTGATTGTTCAAGTGTTTGGTCCAAAAATGGGCAAACAGAAATGAAATGGACAAAGGAGAAAAGCACACACAGATGTGAAGATGGGGAAACTATTGCCACTTGTCGTTAGATTGGTGGCTACGCCGGTGATCTCCCCACATCACCATTATCGCCATCCCCCCATCATAATTATTATTATGGCAGACCTGACATATTTGCCTGCTTATCAGATTTATGTTGCCTCAATTGGCCGCTTGGTAAAAGAGCAAAATAAAAAATCAAAAGCACATAAAAGAGGTACGTGTGGGGCACGTCGCGTTTTGCCCTTCTTGATATTTTCTTGAATATTTTGCTTTGACTGATTTTTGACAGTTGACACGTTGCCAGCCAGCAGAAGCGGTAGAAACATCGGCTCGCCAGCAGCCAACAGCCAACAAAAATATAACAAAAGCGAATTCCGTCCGTTGGAAACAAATAAGTGAGCAACACACGCACTCACTTCAGGCAGTGGCCATTTATTTGAAACCGACGCGGTAAATACTCTTTGTATTCAGGAACTTGATTAATTGCATGACTTCAATCATTCGTTTTGGAATTCGAAATACATTTTCTAGGAATTTTGTCAAGGTTTTTTTAGTGAACAGTTTTTTGGTACTAAATTGATTGTATTTTTCTAACAAATATATATTTTTTCATTGATTCCTTTGGTGTTGATTTTATGTTATTGATCATTAAAAACAATTCCAAAGAGAGTGATTATATTTACCCATTTTAAACTCGCGTTACAATTTGGAATTCAAAAAAATTGTTAAAGGTTTTTTAGTAAACATTTATTTGTACTAGATTAATTGTATTTTTCTAACAAATATATATTTTTTCATTGATTCATTTGGTGTTGATTTCTTGTTATTGATCATGGTAAGGATTCTTTGGAAGATCTAAATTTGTTTTTACAAGAATTTTAAAGAGAAGTTAAATATATATATATTTTTATTTAAAATGTATTCTTACATAACTAATGTGTATGCTAAGAACTAAGTAGACCCAATAGGCTTTTACGATTTTTCAAAGAAAATTGCTAATCCAATAAAATTGGTTATGCTATATGCATATGGATTTCGTCTTGCAAAAACCAATAGAAACTTCTCTGGAACCTAACTATAAGTACTTTGTACTAGTTTAAATATGCATATACTCCATTGTAATAAGAGGGTATACAAATAATGGAAAGAAGGAAAAGGCAACTTGAAGTGGTCGAGAGACCGGACCGCAGTATTCTCCATCTTCAACTACTACTTCAGTGGTCTAAAACGACACTTGAGTCAATAACTGAGATCTCTGCGCGTCCATTTAACCCATAATTCGGGATTTTCGTTGGCGAGAGGGGAGGGGAGGGGAAAAAAGCGTACAATTTTTGTTGATTAATAGCGAGTTGATTTCTTTTTGGCCTAATGGAGTTTGCCAATCGGCAACTGTCGAGAGCTGGTTCGATTTTCTGTCCCCCTGCAATTATTCAGCCACAAATCGCTGGCCATTCATCTACATCACGCCCACACAATTAACACGCCACTCCCCTCGATTCGTCAGTTTTTTTTTTTTATGTAGCCCTTTTACTTGTTGTTAATTTTTTTTATTTTTTTTTCATATTCCATATGCCTCCGTGGTCACAACAAACAATATGTAATTCAATTATGTGCGGTCGCAAAGTTATTGTCATAAATAATGTGGTGCGGGTGCCCAACCTCCTACAATTTTTTGTACAGTAGTTTCTGGTTGTCCGCCAGTCACCAAAATATATGGTCTCAACACTTTTTTTTTTTGTTTTCTTAGACGTTTGTCATTGTTCGATTGAAAAAATGGGGATTGGTTTTCGGTTTTGGGTTCATTGACGATTCGAAAAGTATGTTGGAATACTTAGTTCTCAATGAATGGGAGATCATTGTTAGTCAGCAGTTGTAGGGGCAAAATTTAGAACTCTCTATTAATTAAATTGGCTTTAAGTTCATGCTGTTTTAAATGAGTTAATTATATTTTAATGTGTATAATGTATTTGTACGATTTTAAGAAGATATTTATCAATCCTTTTTGGCTTTATAAAAAACTTTACGATTTCAAAAGGATATTTATCAATTATTTTTGGCTTTATAAATTAAAACAAAAATGTGTTTTTTTATTCTTTAAATTTACTAATCTGCCTTCTTTCCTAGACTTGGAAAATTCGTGTCAGCTTAATAATTTAGAGTAATTATTATTATTTTTCCTACGATCCAATCACCACTGCATAAGAAACATTATTTTAACACCCCTTTCCTTGCTGATTTCGTGCACCTGTTACTTATTTTGTTTTTTTTTTTTTTTTTGATTTTATGCCCAAGTCTGTCTGGCCATTTCGAATAGCCATTAAGGGGAATTATAGAAAACCGACTACTCACCGACTCTCAGGTCCCCAATCCCACAAAAAAGCTCATCTTTTATAGTTTGTTTTTGTTGTGTCCGTTTTATTGCTATTATAATTATTAATTTATGCAGCAGACATTTGCATTAACATCGCATTAGCGATGACTATTTTCATGCCAGCGTGATTAAGTTGGTCCGATCGCAGCGACAGGTTGAAAAAAAAAAAAAAAAAAAAAATGTTTAAACATGGGTTAACCACCGCCCGGCCCCTTAACCCCATACGGCCCCCACTTATTTTTGGAATCACGCTTTTATTTCCCTTTTTTCTTTGCTGTTCTCGCTGCTGGTTGGTTGTTTATTTGTTTAATTTATAAGCCTGCCTCCAAGCGCCGCCCACAAGTCAGAAATAAATAAAAAAGCACATATATATGTATGTTTATAAAAAATCCGTAAGACTTAACAAATGCCGGCCGGCAAGTTTTTTTTTTTTTTTACTTCTTATTTTTGGTTAGCAGCTCGCATTTTTGTCTTTTGTTTGGAGTTTGCTGAGCGGAATGAATGAATGATGATTGTCTTCTAGCCAAGTCATATGCTGTTTTGTACCAGACTGTACTTAAATTTACAGAGTGCTCCTAATTAAATAAAACAATTAACACGGCTAATAACTTATATTTATAAAATCAAAAGTGTAGAATTGGGAGGCCGATAGTCAAAATAAAATCAAGTTTAAATGAGTTTAATTAGTAAAGAAAAATAAAACAATAACGTAAAGTTGTAACTTAAATACAAAGAGGAAATATATATCAGACGTTAACAAAACCTAACATTATACAATTATTTTTTTAGGCCTAACCCACACTCATAGAAAAATTACGCAAAATAGGTGAACAGTAGGTGATAAATAGGTAAAGGCACAAGGTTAAAACAAGAGCTCCACTGTGCGATTTTAATCGGGTACAAGTTGTCGGATTTCCTTTTGCCATTTGTCAGAGGGTTTTACTGCCCCTTCTTCGACCCCTCTGCCCCTTTCCCCCTCAAACTTTAAGCGTTTTAGCAATTGAATTTCTAATAGGCTTTACCTTACCACCTCGTTTTTTCTTTTTTTTCGCTCTGCACGGCATCGAAAAACATTTAAATTTAATGGCAGTTGCTTGTACGCTTTATAGAGTGGAATATGGACAAAAGGGGTGAAGTGGGGGGGTCTATAACTGCCTTTATAGCATTCCCAGAAAATGGAAGCAAAAACCTCAAAACCATTAAATTGTTGGCTTCTTTTTTTGTTGCGATATATATATATATCTTTTTTTTGGATTTTTTTCCAAAGTGTAAAGTGACCATTAAGGGCTCCACACACGCACGCTATAGGAAAAAAAAACCCATCCAAGTTTTTGTAATTAAGTTCTGTTTGTCTCATCTCGAGTTCGCTTGGCCTCTCTGTTAATTGAATTAAATTTTAATTTGTTAAACGAATTAAGAGTCGCGGCATAATGTGAAGTGCGTTTTTTTTTTTTGCGAGAGATGAGGCAGGTTACATATATGTATATATAAAGATGTGCAGAAACAAAATAGCTCCATATCAAAAAAATATATATATTTTACAAACAACATTTGACCATTAGTCTCCAGGGTTTTGATCATTAGGAGTAATATTATAATTTTTTGCGAACATTGAACAAAAGCTCTAATATACTATTAAAATCAAGTATTTATTATGATGAATAATTCAGCAGTTTTTTTTTTTTTTTTTTTTTTTTAGATAGATTGTGGTTAAATGGTTAAAAAAAATATTCATTATATGTCATTTATTTTATTTTTTTGTGTAAAAAGAAAACACATAGCTCGCATTATCTGGGGTGCAATGTTTGCCGGGATGTTTGCTCACTTTATCGAATTGGCAAACGAGAACCTGACCAACCCATGTTATGACAAATTCTGTTCCAAAAACTACATGTCATAATAATGAATGTGTTGCAAAGACAGCGATATGGGAAATGAGTCGAGCTTGAGAAATATATATTCTTGTATATACAAAAAATGTTACATTTTTAGATGAAATAAAAAGTACAATTTTAAATGGGAATAAAACCCGTGATTGTGGATTTATATGCGTCAACTCTTTGGGATTAGTCACTTTGTCATTATAATCTTTGGAGCTTAGTCAAAAACTTCCACTTAATAACTTCCGTGAATTAGAACTTAAACTTTCATATCAGATTTAGTATAATCGCGGATAAATATCTTAAAAAGTATGTATGATTGTGCGAATTTCTAACATTTGTGAAAAAACATATTTTTAATGATAAGCCTTTCCGTAGATTTGTTTTTTAATGCCCTTCAACACGAAAACGAACGTGGAATAAATTATTTTTCACTTCTGGCTGCTAAACTCTTGTACTTTAAATGGACTGCAATTACAATGTATTCCAAACTCTTTTTCCGCCCCTTGAGCACACTCCATTCATTTAATTTACATTTCTCTCTGCCATTTCTCCAACTTCTCGTTATTTTTCCCCACATTGCATTCCGTTGGCACGCACAATTCCGCTTAGTTTTTGAATGAGTTTTCGGCTTTGGGGCATATGTATCTTCCTCCGACTCACGCATTTTAAATGTAATTTTGTTGCGTAATAGGGTGTCAAAGGGGGGCGTGGCAATCGGAGGTGCGATGACTACTGGCCCTTTACTTTACGCATACGTTTAACACACTTCTCTGCCCGCATTTTCTATGCAAACAAAAGCCAGAGTAGAGCTCTCAACGAAGCGGAATGCGTGCCAAATGCAAATTGTAGGGCCTACACAGAGAAAAAAGAATTATTATTTAAAAGTTTTTATTATGGGGCTTCAAATAACATTTTAGTGAGTCTTGGCAAGTGAATGATATGCAATTTAATTTCTTAAAATAAAAATTATACGCTTAAATAAAACGATACTGATATTTAGATATCCCATTGCAAAATAGATAACCTTCCTCATCAGTTACCAGTTTTAATTATACTTAATTATTAATGATTTAATATAATATTAATGGTTTTATTAACCAACAAAAGGATAGTCTTTTATTTGTTTTTAAAGATATATCAGTTGCAAATTGTACTTGCTGGGAAGAAGCTAAAAATTTGATAATGCATATATTTTTAAGACTAGCTGTTTTATGAATTTATAAATATAAATAAATTGTTTTTTTTTCGTTGTGCATAGAAGAAGGTTAGTTGTTTGGTGGGTAGGAGAAGCATTTAACCCGGGGGACAGGAGACAACGACGCGGTCGCAACTCTTAGCACGATGGCGTTAATTGCTGGACGCCAAGTACGCGGCTCGCAAATAAAACGAACTCCAATGTTTTTCCCACAACCAAGAGAAGACCAAACAATTGAGACACATTTGCTTTGGCAATTACTTGCTCGGCTGCAGTAACTGGAACGCCAGTTGCCAATTGCTTGGGATGAATGCTAGCAGCCATTCTAATCGATCTCATTTCCTTTTTGCAGGACTACAATGGCGAGTGCCCGTACTCGTTGTCACCGGTCAGCGCCAAAAGTCAGAAGCTGTTGCGATCGCCGCGCAAGGCCACACGCAAGATCTCGCGCATACCCTTCAAGGTCCTGGACGCTCCGGAGCTGCAGGACGACTTCTATCTGAACCTGGTCGACTGGTCGTCGCAGAATGTGCTGGCTGTGGGCCTGGGCAGCTGTGTCTACCTCTGGAGCGCTTGCACCAGTCAGGTGAGTCCTTTGACGGGTCTAATCCCCTTAAGACCTCGTATCAAGCCATCAAAAAGGTTACCAAAAACAAAAATTCACATTGATTAATTACAAAAACGACCAAACACATTTTAAAAACAATTTGCTTTTTACAAGATTTTTAGTTTCGAATCAAATTGGTTTTTTTTTTTATTACCAAAGTAGAATGATAATAAAATAACAATGTTTGACATATTTTAAAATAGCTTTAATATTTTGGTATATAGATAATTTAAATAAAAAGGCTATAAAGTCAATGTATACTGTAAAAAATGTATAAAAAATCCATTAGAAATTGTTTATAAAAACCAATATTTATAATGGCTTTATTTTTTAAAGCTTTAAGTAATATACAAATTTTAAAACTTTTTTTAAAATAGGTACAATACTTTGGTATATTAAATATTTAAATTAATAGAGAATTTGTGTAGAATTTGTTTTAAAACATCTATGTTTATAATTGTTTTTAAGTTTTAAAACTTAATACATACTACTTAAAAGTTATATGTCTACAATATTTGCATATGAATCTATTGTTAACATTAATCAAATTAACGTACAAAGCGCAAATGTCTTTTAAAATTGTTCTTTTATTTGTCATTAAGCAGATGCTTTGCTTTGACAACGTTTTTGTTTGGCCTGAATACGTGCTGTAAAATTTAAAAATCGAAAAGGACATATTACTAACAAGTTCGCCTTCTGTTTGTCCAGGTTACCCGCCTGTGTGATCTCAGTCCGGACGCGAACACGGTGACCTCGGTGTCGTGGAACGAGCGTGGCAACACCGTGGCCGTGGGCACGCATCACGGCTACGTGACCGTCTGGGATGTGGCGGCCAACAAGCAGATCAACAAGCTGAATGGCCATTCGGCGCGCGTGGGTGCGCTGGCCTGGAACAGTGACATCCTGTCGAGCGGGTCGCGCGATCGCTGGATTATCCAGCGGGACACGAGGACACCGCAACTGCAGTCGGAACGGCGCTTGGCCGGCCATCGGCAGGAGGTGTGCGGCCTGAAGTGGTCGCCGGACAATCAGTACTTGGCCAGCGGCGGCAACGACAATCGGCTGTATGTGTGGAACCAGCACTCGGTGAATCCCGTGCAATCGTACACGGAGCATATGGCGGCGGTGAAGGCGATCGCCTGGTCACCGCACCACCACGGACTCTTGGCCAGCGGCGGCGGAACGGCGGACAGGTGCATCCGATTCTGGAACACGCTGACGGGCCAGCCCATGCAGTGCGTGGACACGGGGTCGCAGGTGTGCAATCTGGCCTGGTCCAAGCACTCCTCGGAGCTGGTCTCCACGCACGGCTACTCGCAGAACCAGATCCTCGTGTGGAAGTATCCCTCGCTGACGCAGGTGGCCAAGCTGACGGGTCACTCGTATCGAGTGCTCTATTTGGCCCTCAGTCCCGATGGCGAGGCCATTGTTACGGGTGCCGGCGACGAAACGCTGCGGTTTTGGAACGTATTCAGCAAGGCACGCAGCCAAAAGGAGAACAAATCGGTGCTGAATCTGTTTGCCAACATCAGATAGGGACAATAAACCAAGGACCGAAGACTGAGCGAGGCGCCAAAGGCAACACAAAACACACAAGAGAACTAAATACTAAAATAAATACTAAAAACTGAAAACTAAAACCAACAATCAAGCAACCAACAACCAACCAGCAAACCAAGCAGAAAGCCGAAATTCTATAAATATATTTATACAAAGAATCCTTGTTCATCATTCGTTAGTAAATTTTAGTTACCAACAGCAGCAATAGTTTAAACCAATTTAAGTTAAGTATTTCTGTATAGAACGGATATTAGCAACATTTATATAAGAAAAAAACACATAAAATTTATGATAAAAGAAGAACATCTATAATGGCTGAAACAAGAACTGAAAACTAAGTCTTTATAGGCCCATATATATGCAAATTGTAACTAATTGGAACACAACAACAACACACACACACAAACACACGCACTACTAATATGCAATCGAAATTTTTTTGTTGCTTTTCTATTCATGTATTTTGTTTAGTACACTACACTTAAGGCAATTGATACATATATATATTTTTTTGCTAGCCTATAAGTAACTAACTTTATTTCAAGCAATCATTTAATTCCTTTTTCACACTCATGCAAAAAACACTATGTATAATAAATAAATTTATACAATTTCAAAATGTGCCCCAAAAAGAATGCTTTGTTTTTTTTGATTTGTTGGGACTTAGTAGAGTTTGCAACCGCGAAACGGTAAAGCGGTTTTGGGGGCTAAGTGGAGACTCGACCCAAACGAAGACTCAATCCACCTGTCTGTTTTGCACTTTTTTGGTTTTATCGCATCTTCGACTTCGATTTTGCACTAGTGGTCGTGGGCGTGGCCAGGGGCGTGGACAAGGTGTAATAATTAACGGGGGTTCGGGACTTCAAGATAAATAAGATTTTTAAGATACACATTTCGGTTAGATATTTCCAATTTAAATAAATTTACAAGTTTTGAAGAATAGGCTTTTTTGTGTTATGATTGAATAAGATTTTTTAAGAAGTTCGAGCTACATTTGTGAGCTAAAAACCGTATGCCAAAAAAATGGTAAAACAACTTATAAAATATTTATAAAATATTGAGTTAAAATTTGAAAAAGTCAATTAAAAATATTTTTTTGCAATCTACAATTTGATGATGATATCAAAAATGATTAACTTGACTTTAATTCAGCGTATGCTTTTTTTAAAACAGTTTAGTTAAGTTTAGATTTTATTTAATTGTTTTTTCCAATATAATTGTGTTAAATATATGTTTTGTATGTCCAAAACCCCTCAAACTACGCCTCTGAATGGTTTGCAGCTTCCGTCGGTGAGCTTCTAGTCCGACTGTTTGTGTTGTTGTAATTCGGTTTCTTGGCCTGGCTCTCTGCTTTTCAATTTGTTGTTGTTTTTTTTGTTCATGTCATTTTTTCTTGTCTTTTTTTTTTTTTTTGGTTTTTGGCCAAGTCCAAGTTTAACAGCGCTCGACGCGCCAGAATCAAGTTCAGTTGCGCCGCAAACGCGTCGCGGAAATGTTTCGCTGCTGGCCACCGTCCCAAAGAAATCGAAATTTAAATTGAAATCCATTAAACGAACGCGCCGCCGTCCTGCATCCAAAATTCCTATAAAATAGAATCCCGTATCCTTGCCAATTAATAAATACAGCAAAGCTAGAAACCAATTCGCGTAATATTTCTACTTAATTTTCCCTACCGTTCTCAGGTAAAAATTGTGCTGTTTTTTTTTTTTTGAATGTTTTTACTGTGAGTGCGTACAGTTGTCCTTGCCGTTCTGTTATGGGTTTTCCTGCTGCCTTTTGAAGGTCACTCACGCACGAAGGCTGCGCCCAGTGGACGGTTGGGGCGTAAGCGAGAGGGGGCGGGGCACTGGGCCAAATGTCAAAAGGTGAAGGCAGGCAGGCGGCCTTGGGATTAAAGCACAGCTTTCCCAGCCAAGTGTAAAAGTGAAAGTGACCGAAAATTGAAATTAAGAACAATGCATTAAAAGAGTAAAAACAAAGATCATCGATCAGAACAAGTGGTTTTAAATTTATTTTAATATGTTATAATTAAAATTAATAACCAATTGGCCATCAATAAGTTAATATTTGTTATTATTCAAAAAGGGTGTTTACAATTTCGCCCTTAAGTAACATTTTAGACAATGTAATTTGTATCTCTCTATATTTTTAAAGAGTTCTACTTACGAATTGTCTTCTTAAATTAAAACTCAGCCACCTTGAAAAACGGCGGTAAAAACATTAGCACACAAACTAAATTCAAAATAATTTAAATTGAATTTTGGTTATATAAATATCAAGGTTTTAAAGCAAATACAAATTTAGCTTTAAACGGTTTAGTTTGTTTTTCTGACCAGAAATAATTGAAAAAGAACTTGATAATTAAATTAATTATGAGCTTATTATTGATAAGAGTTTGTTAATTTCCAGAAATAAACGATATATAACTTGCTAATTATATTTATTAGGAGCTGGTTATAGATAAGAATGGAAAAATGGGACTTTATAAAATATATTTATATTTAAAATTTGTATTTAAAGAAGGTGTGAACTAGCTTATATTATCAATTCTGATTTTTCAAATGGGTTGCAAATTGGAATTCTTACATCCAACATTAAGATGTGGTAACTCTTAAGATAAGTAGATGAGAAGCAGCCGATGTCCCAAAAAGAACGTCTTGACATTTTTGGCCATCATTTGCATGTCAAACATACTTCTCTTCACCAGTCGGATTTTTGTGGACATATCTAACTGGCAACTTGGTTAAATATTTGAGTGGTCGATATGGACAAGATCTACCCATCACATTTTCATTTTTTTCGCACATCCAATGCGCGAATAGCATTACCTCGACAAGCCGTGAAATTTGCTCAGCGATTAGCACACGTGGATTGGGGTGCACATACATATATAGTATGGGAAGGTCAGTGATTCTCGACCGTTTTCGCCAATTGCGAAAGTCAACAATATGTTCTTGACTAACTTCCGATCGGTTTTGTACCCTCACCCAGCCCCCCTCCCAAACCCCACCCACTTCTGAAAACCCCATATCCCCCAGATTTAAAAAGACGCTTCCTCTATTTTAGACAATTAACGCCTTCGCCTTTGCTTTCGGTTTGGGTTTTGGTTTTTAGTTTCAGTTTCAGTTTCAGTGTCTGAGGTTCCGAAGGTACTATGCCTATCTTTTGTCTTTCGACCTTGGGAGGGGGAGTGGGTTTTCAGGGGGGGGGCGAGGGCGTTCAATGACCGACACTGTCCATTTACCTTTATGCATATATTGATCCCCCTTTCGATCGATTTAACCACAAGACAATGGCAAGCCTCTATTTGCCTTTAGATTGGCCCTAATTCGATCGATGGCACCACTTTATGATAACTTTCCAAAATATGATGCTTCTGAAAAACAAGATATCGAAATAGTTGTAGCGCCCCTAATTTGATCTTCTCCAGATGGCTTTACTTTATGATCTTGCATTTATTGAGAGGTTTATGGGGGTGTTAACTTTAAAACTATAAATATTTCATCTCTCTTCAAGATATCAATAATATTTGATATATTAATATTGAAGATATCAATTTCTTGATAATATCGAAATAACTATTATATAAAACTCTATGATAGCAGTTGAGCAAATTATATTATATTGATATTTTAAATATGAGAATTATGGGAACGACGAAAATAGTTGATTTTTTATATGTTATTATAAAATATGATAGAAATTCAATAGAACTTTATGAAAAGGAAAATTATTATTAATAAATTCACTTTCATTTGAATTAACTCAAAAGAGACAGTTGAACATAACATAGAAATTTTATCGATTTTTGTATAGAATAGCGGCGTAAATGTGGCTGCAATTCGAGTGTGTATTCTGCACTTAAACTTGACCCCATTTCCAGGGGACAAGGACGGAGCTTCCTTTATGAACGGGCCACGTCGGAAGGTCTGTTTTGCTCTGCTCTGCGGCAATTACAGCGATTATCAGCGATATAGTGTTTGTGACAGTGCGGCAATTACCACGTTTCCAACTGGGGCCCCAAAAATCGCGCGATGGGGGGCCTTTTTTACGGGAGGGGATTACAACTTGTTATTGTGGCTTTTAAGAACCAGCGTTTCCATCTGCAGCGTGACATTCAAAATGCAAACGAACCGCAAAACCAGTTTTCGAATGCGTCCAAGTGAAGGGCTTCATCATCAAAAAACTATATATGTATATATATAGAGTTCAAAAACAGGAGATCGTTGATTGATGATCTGATCTGTGGATCCAAGACACGCCTGTTGACGCAGAAGATTTTAGTAGCCATATCAAAGTTCACACATTGACCAAGGTACAGAAACATTCCCTCGGGGTTTAATGGCCCCCCCCCAAAAAAAAAATTACAGTAAAACCTCCAACACTCAAATTAAGAATTCAGTTATATAGCCTTTGAATTACTAGCACTTATATCGTAAAAAAAAATCAGAGAAAAATAGCGTTTTAATTAGATGTGAACATAAAAAGCGTAAAATTTTACGTTTTTTTTAAACGCCGAAATAATAAGTCTTTTTTAAAAATGTATTTTGTAGATACAAATTGCTATAGTTTCGAAAATTCTTGAATAGTAGTGGTAAAACTTATAGATAGTTTAAAATACTTTTGATAAAGTTGTATATTTTGTATTTTATAATGTATTTATTATAATAGTTTCACATTGCATTAGGATAGCGAATGGGCCATTATAAAAAATATATTAACCATTTTGTTTTAAAAGAGTTTCAAAGGTTTATAGGATGACTTTTTTAATATGTCTAAACATCTTAAAGTGTTTGGATCTTATTTTCTTGCTCGTATGTGTAGGGTGCTTAGAAGTTTGACTGATTTGATCCGATGCTGATCTCTTTCTGCTGAGTGACAGCTTAAAGCCAAAGTTATAGGATCTATAAACGGTTTAAGTATCCGTTTTTGTCTGAATTTATTTGGGAGTTGGGTCATTGTACTTGAGGTTTATAAACGAACTCGATTCGCTTTTGACTTCCAATTTTGTTTTCGTTTTCTTCTGCACTGGCAACTGGCGACCGAAAGACGACCGCAAAGACTGGCTTATTTATTATGCCATGAAATTGAAAAGCATTGACATTGAAAATTATGCGAACAACGGAGATTGAATTTATCTGAATTTGGATAATAAGAAGATGGCTTTTATGTGTTTGCACATACTTACATACATACATACATATGTATGTACGTATGTACGTTCACCGATATTTAGAATGGAATGGCGTGGTAATTGATTACCAATTGTTGTCACTTGTCGGTGCGAATTATCGATGCGAATTGCGATCCATAAATAAACATTAATAACATAAGAAAGACAATTGATCTGCGGGCGAAACAATTCGCCAATGGAGTGACAGCCAAGTTCACGCGATGACAAGGGGGCAAGGCTCCGCCGCTGTCTTTTCCCAGGGGCGTAGTCTGGTTATTTTTGTTTTGGGGAGGGTAAACGTACCGATCAGTGGGCACTATCAATAACATGTCAAATTTAATTGTTTAACATGTATCTTTGTCTTTTGAACACATGTTTCTACCGGGTTTCAATTTATTTACCTTTTTAACATTTTAAAGCCACAGTAGTATATCTTCGCGATGCAAATTTGTTTTTAATTTCTTGGAAATATATTTAGTGGTGTTTATAAATAAAAGCTTTAAAATAGTTTGGAATTATGCAAAAAATCTTTCGTCTAATCGTGTGAGTTCTCATAAAATTGTTAAGACTTGAACTTGTTGACATATCAGTATTAGTTACAAATTATGAGGGTAATGGTTCTCTATAACGTAAACTTATTTAATATTTAATTAAAAAGTTGTTTTTTTGTGAGATATATTAATTTTTTTCATATTATTAAGAAGTGTTAATATACCTAAATACTTAATTTATAATATTATTTTTTGGGTCACTCTTGTAAATTAATTTGTTTAATAATGAGATATCCTCTAAATGGATACCCCTTGCCACGTCTCTGTCCCATTGTTGCTTTCCCTGTCTGGCAGACAAATGGCACCTTCTTTCTCCCTCGCACCCACCTTGGGCTCCAGAATTCTCACGCTCTTTTTTCTCTTGTTACAACGAGGGTGACAGGGATGGCACCTCCGCCTCCCATCTCCCCCACGCACAGTGGGACAAATGAACAATTGTGCAAACATACATAAATAATACTCATGTAGTGTGGGTGTCATCATTAATTATTCTCGCACTTTACAAGTGAAACGTGATGGGTAAAGTTGTTCCTTGGCCTGGCATTAAAAGTAACCAAATAATAACGTGAAGTAAAACGTCAAGAAGAGTCTTTATTTTTTTTCTCATTTATTTGTATGTATTTGTATTTTGATTTTGACTAATTAACAGAGTTGGCCGGCCGGTGACCTTCACCTTTTGCGATGCGAGTTGGCCAAAAGCAAAGGTGGATGGCAAAGAGGAGAAGCAAAAGAATTGGTAACAAGCTGACGCCTCCACCTTCAACTGACCCACAAAAAAGCGGCGCCGCTCTTCCTGACTGTTTGCTCATATCTTTTTTTTCCATTTAAAAAATTTTTTTCTTCTATTTTTGCTTTGAAGAGCGACTCTTGGGGTAGGTCACTATCCTCACTCCGCCTCACCAAAACCTCACCTAATACCGTTCGTTCGTAAGCCTTTTATTTTGCAAATTGCTTTGGCTGTCTTCTTTTTTTATCTTTGCCCACGATCATTTGTTTTGCGCTGCCTTTTGTTTTGATCGTTGGCTTTACAGTGGTACGAAATGGTAAGACAAAAGGAAATCGAAGAAAAATTAATATTAAATTGACTTTTTTTATGTTAAGATAAATTTTATTATGATATATGAAAGCTAAATTTGTGTGTGACATTCAAAATTGCATTTGAATATCATAAAAACGTATAGCTTAATTGTTATTTATTATTTTATCACATATTTCTTCTATGCCAAGGAATGAGTTAGGTGTTATAAAGATATAATATTTTGTGTTGCTAAAAGTGCTTGGTGAAACATGTCCGAAATATCAGTTTTCGTTCACTGTATCTGCAGCCTAATAACATGCCATTAAAATGATAATTATATCATATTAACATAATGATTATCATAACAAAATATCAAGTCTTGTTATTGATACAAGTATATATTATTGATATAGTTTTGGATGGTATCTGCTAACTGATTTATATGATTTTTAAATGCCACTATAATTTCGCGACAGTATGGAATGGAAGCTATAGAGCCCAGACCACTGTGCACAGTTATGGATATTTGATTCTGGCCAGAGGTCATATACGCGGTCCATAGAAATGCAAAATTCGAGTTGCTAATGATGGCCCACATATCATACCGTATGCCCTCATACCATATCGCCTCATTATCGCGCCGTCAGTTCAGCCAAGCAGATCTTGAGCATCGAACACGCCCCTTCCGACTCCGCCTCCGCACATATGAAATCCTAATTATCTGATCCGAATCTTCTTGTATTTCCGATCGCAGTTGGCGCCATGAGGGAACCGTTTCCCGTGGTGGTGCTGCTGCTCCTTTGGATCGGTTCGGCGGTGCCACCCACTTCCGGATCGGCGGTACTCATCTCCGACATGACCATGAGCGTCATGGTGGAGCTATCGTCCAGACATCCCTTTTGCAAGATGCATACAGATCGGTGAGTCCGGTGAAAAAAAAAAAATACGATCTAGTGTTAAATGATAGTCTTTAGGATTTTCAATGATCCTGTATTAACCTGAAAAAACAAAATTATTAATTCAAGTGATACGATCGTTATCTTATAAAAATTAATAGTATAGCTATATGAAACGGATTAACAAAAGCTTTTCATATTAAACACAAAAGATGTTTAAATTGTAATCAATAATATAAAATATTCATTTGTTTAATATTTTTTTTATTGTTTTCTAATTTAATTAAATTTAGGGAACTGGTACTAATAAATGTTTAATTAATTTATTAAACTAAGCCTTAAGCCTTTTAAAAATCGTATATCTGTAAGAAAAATTATGAGCTTGGATCATAGAATACACATACACCTTATATTTAATATTAATCAATGAAGCGTTTAAAATTAAAAGATCTAATATATTTTTTAAGAAAAATTTAAAGAAATTTAATTATCAACTAAAATAACTAATCCTTTGTAAGCTGTTGAATTATTTATTGTCCAATTACCACATATTTAATATCAACCAAAGAATCGATACAAAGTAAATGGAGTTATAGTCATTAAATCAAACGTTTTATATCGATCCTCGGTTCAAAACTTGAGTAAAATGTAATTTTCTCCTGCTGATGCTTATGCCTTTTCCCCCAGCGGTGATATCCAGCGCATGCTGCTGCAATCGGATCCGCGTCGCATCCGCCAGGTGCCGCGGGAGTCGGTGATGGAGCTGGAGGAAGTGTGCCGCCGCCAGGGATCGTATGGCCACGAGTTCCGCGGCGGACTGGGCTTCATCTATCCGGGGACGAAGTGGTGTGGTCCGGGCACAGCGGCCACCAGCTACGACGACTTGGGGCCGCATTCTCGCGAGGATCGCTGCTGTCGCGAGCACGACATGTGCCCGGATGTCCTCAATGTGGGCGAATGCAGGCGGGGACTGTGCAACCGGGGCACCTTCACGAGGAGCCACTGCGATTGCGATGCCCGCTTCCGGCGATGCCTGCAGGCGGCCAACACGGAGACGGCCAACACGCTGGGCGCCATCTTCTACAATGTGGTCCAGGTGACGTGCTTCCAGGAGCGGAGTCCCTGCTCGGCGCACCAGAGGTTCGAGGACTTCTACTACCGCACCGATCACTGTCCGGCGGAGTTCCGGCAGGCGGATCTCTACGTTCCGCCGCACGGCGACAACCTGATAGCCAAGATCCTGGCCCATCCGCAGGGTCGGGCCCTGGCCGCTCCCTCCTTTGGCCCGGCCAAGTCTACCGCCCGCCGATGGGGCGTTAAATTGGCCAGCGTCGGCCTGGCCGCGGTCAATATCCTGCGGGAGGTGGTGCAACGACCACGTCTCCTGTGGGACAGCCTGCAGGCACCGGTCAGTCGGGAGTTGCCTCCATCGCCGCCAAGATACCAGGAGGGCTATCACTACGAGCGGCCGGGGCCTTCTTCCTACGGATATGGCTATGCTGGTCGCGGCTACGGGGGCTACGACTCCCGCTGGAGCTGAATCTGAATCGGAATCTGAATCCGAGAGCTGGAGTTACGATAGCCCCCAAAGGGTTTCGGCGATTTTGCTGGTTTTCAATTGTATTCAAAGGTAGGAGAGTGATCTTACTAGGGACTATAGGTAGAAGTGAAATAAAATTGTCAGGGCTAAAGGTTTTTATTTTAAAGTAAAACAGGAAAGTTAAAGATTAATATTGCTCAAAATTTGTTGGTTCAGCCAGTTGTTAAGTTGTTTCTTTATACCAAATTTTGGTGGGGTTTCATATAGATTAAAAAAATAAATATGATTTCCAATTATTTTCTAAAGTTTAAAAGTAACATAACTATAGGTTAAAGTAAAAAGGGTTTATTTATTTTGTACATGAGTTTAAAGTAAAATATCAAAATTCAAGTAAAATTGGAGTAAGTAAAAAGTAAAATGAATACCTTTTTTTTACATTTTACTTGCTCCTATTTTACTTGAATTCTTGAATATGTAAAATAGGGGTTTAAACAGAACGAAAAGTATTGATTATGTTTAAGATTCATTTCATTTTTTAATTTCGAAAACAAAACTTGATTTAAAAAATCAAAATATTATATCAACTTAATTTGCCAAAGAAAACACAAAGGTAACGTAAACCTTTGTTTACATCAGCAATGTATCACACAATCATTTTCAGATTGTCTACAGACATAAAACGTGATTTTCAAGTCAATGCTGAAGAATATATCTTCGTTTTATCCTGCTTTATATTCTGTTAAAGTTTCATTATTATAGTTGCTTATTATTCCGGAAAAGTTTCATTATCATAGTCGTACCATCTTGGCGTGGGAAGAGAATACGTCGTATTGTTCTGATCCAATACGCATTTAAATACTTTAAATGGGTTTTTTGTCCGATTCTCTTTGTGAGTAAGTGAGAAAAAAAAGCTTTTTTTAGTGGATCGAACAGATGAACATTTTCTGTTACTATAACTTGGCAGCTCAGCGAAATGTTGAAGTTATTATTTTTTTAGGAAACAAAACATACATAGCTTTTTCAGTCGTATTATTTAAGTAAGCGAAAAGTGTCATTAATACAAACATTATCCGATTTTGGGGTGATTACGCTATAAGCTATTTGTTAACAACATAAAAGATCGAAGATATAAGCAAGAAATTTACTATTAAGAAAAGGTATATCTCAACAATGTTTAAATCAGAATTTCCATCCATTCTATTCCGAAATTTACCTAGAAATATGAAAAGATCACTCTCCAGCCTGGTAATTAGTTGATTAACCGACATAAGTCGACATACCGCACTGTTTTCGATTAGTATTAGTAGTCATAAGTTGCAGTTCCACTAGTCCTATAGCCACGTAGCTGCATGTGTGATTGCCATTAGTGTTCTGCATGTAACGTGTTCACTAGTTCACTAGTTCACACCCGTTCACCCCTAGTTTTGTACAAATAAATTCATTGAGAATCGCACTTCCTCTTCCCGATATTGATTCGATTAGAGCCGGATACAACCAGACGGAACAGGAGGCCATCTGCGCCCAGTGGCAGTATCAGCCGTCGGAGAAGTATGTGCCCAGCCAGCCCAGAACCTCCTCCTAAAGATGAGACGTTGACGACCTGGACTAGCTCATGGACTCATGGAAACGATTACAAATCTACAAGGCATTAGCATTAGCTTATCCAATAGCTATAGTTATCCTCGATTGCAATTCCTAAACCTGAACGAAGGCCAAAGATCAAAAACAACCGCTCGGAACTAGATGGAAAATATATAAATATATATATTTTCATATATTGAACGCATACAAAACAGATCTATATATATACACACAAAAACGTACATTTAAATAAATATATTTACCATGATCAGAGCAATGGAGTGTTTTTCTTGCGCCCTCAAAACCTTTTCAATGGAAGAAGCCCACAAGGTAAAACCATTTATTTGGAGTTCAATCTGCGAGGTAATTATCCATAGTATTCATATCCGATGCTCCGATGTGTTTTAATTATTAGTAATTTCAATTGATTTTTTGTGTTAAGAGAATCTATTGCTATGAGAAGATAAACAAAGATGCAAATTCTATTATATATTATATTATATAGTAACTATTTTATAGATAACTAATTTAAAATATATTCAATAAAAACCACAAAAATTACTAAAGTGTTTTGACTACTGAGGGGTAGGGGGGTACATCATAATTTTTTTTCGAAAATTTTATGACAAATTCAACGGTGTATGACATTCTAACTGTTGACCATTATTTCCCAGGGTTTTGTCTCAAAAACCAAGTTTTTAATGTGTTATTTGGGATTTTTTTTTGACGCAAAAACCGAACCCTGATCGATTGAAAACAATTTATTTTGTCTTGACGCAAAAACCGAATTTTGAAAAACGTTTTTTGACAAATTTATTTTTGTCCAAATTTTTGACTTTTTTGTAAGGGTACATCATCATTTTTTGCCGAAATTCGAAAATCTGAAAAAATTTTAACTGTTAATGCCATTTGATTGGAAATTTTATTACGAATTCAACGGTGTATGACATTCCAACATTAGACCATTATTTCCCAGGGTTTTGACACAAAAACCAAGTTTTTAATGTGTTTTTTGGGATTTTTGGCGATTTTTCAAATAACATTTTTTCTGAAGAGTCTTTTTGCTGTAACTTTACCAAAATAAGACCCAAAGTCAAAAGAGTTGCTATTTTGAACAGCTGGCAACCCATACCATCCATCCCTGATCGATTAAAAACAATTTATTTTGTCTTGACGCAAAAACCGAATTTTGAAAAACGTTTTTTGACAAATTTATTTTTGTCCAAATTTTAGACTTTTTTGTAAGGGGGTACATCATCATTTTTTGCCGAAATTCGAAAATCTGAAAAAATTTTAACTGTGAATGCCATTTGATTGGAAATTTTATTACGAATTCAACGGTGTATGACATTCCAACATTAGACCATTATTTCCCAGGGTTTTGACACAAAAACCAAGTTTTTAATGTGTTTTTTGGGATTTTTGGCGATTTTTCAAACAAAATTTTTTCTGAAGAGTCGTTTTGCTGTAACTTTACCAAAATAAGACCCAAAGTCAAAAGAGTTGCTATTTTGAACAGCTGGCAACCCATACCATCCATCCCTGATCGATTGAAAACAATTTATTTTGTCTTGACGCAAAAACCGAATTTTGAAAAACGTTTTTTGACAAATTTATTTTTGTCCAAATTTTTGACTTTTTTGTAAGGGGGTACATCATCATTTTTTGCCGAAATTCGAAAATCTGAAAAAATTTTAACTGTGAATGCCATTTGATTGGAAATTTTATTACGAATTCAACGGTGTATGACATTCCAACATTAGACCATTATTTCCCAGGGTTTTGACACAAAAACCAAGTTTTTAATGTGTTTTTTTGGGATTTTTGGCGATTTTTCAAATAACATTTTTTCTGAAGAGTCTTTTTGCTGTAACTTTACCAAAATAAGACCCAAAGTCAAAAGAGTTGCTATTTTGAACAGCTGGCAACCCATACCATCCATCCCTGATCGATTAAAAACAATTTATTTTGTCTTGACGCAAAAACCGAATTTTGAAAAACGTTTTTTGACAAATTTATTTTTGTCCAAATTTTTGACTTTTTTGTAAGGGGGTACATCATCATTTTTTGCCGAAATTCGAAAATCTGATCAAATTTTAACTGTGAATGCCATTTGATTGGAAATTTTATTACGAATTCAACGGTGTATGACATTCCAACATTAGACCATTATTTCCCAGGGTTTTGACACAAAAACCAAGTTTTTAATGTGTTTTTTGGGATTTTTGGCGATTTTTCAAACAAAATTTTTTCTGAAGAGTCGTTTTGCTGTAACTTTACCAAAATAAGACCCAAAGTCAAAAGAGTTGCTATTTTGAACAGCTGGCAACCCATACCATCCATCCCTGATCGATTAAAAACAATTTATTTTGTCTTGACGCAAAAACCGAATTTTGAAAAACGTTTTTGACAAATTTATTTTTGTCCAAATTTTAGACTTTTTTGTAAGGGGGTACATCATCATTTTTTGCCGAAATTCGAAAATCTGAAAAAATTTTAACTGTGAATGCCATTTGATTGGAAATTTTATTACGAATTCAACGGTGTATGACATTCCAACATTAGACCATTATTTCCCAGGGTTTTGACACAAAAACCAAGTTTTTAATGTGTTTTTTGGGATTTTTGGCGATTTTTCAAATAACATTTTTTCTGAAGAGTCTTTTTGCTGTAACTTTACCAAAATAAGACCCAAAGTCAAAAGAGTTGCTATTTTGAACAGCTGGCAACCCATACCATCCATCCCTGATCGATTAAAAACAATTTATTTTGTCTTGACGCAAAAACCGAATTTTGAAAAACGTTTTTGACAAATTTATTTTTGTCCAAATTTTAGACTTTTTTGTAAGGGGGTACATCATCATTTTTTGCCGAAATTCGAAAATCTGATAAAATTTTAACTGTGAATGCCATTTGATTGGAAATTTTATTACGAATTCAACGGTGTATGACATTCCAACATTAGACCATTATTTCCCAGGGTTTTGACACAAAAACCAAGTTTTTAATGTGTTTTTTGGGATTTTTGGCGATTTTTCAAACAAAATTTTTTATGAAGAGTCTTTTTGCTGTAACTTTACCAAAATAAGACCCAAAGTCAAAAGAGTTGCTATTTTGAACAGCTGGCAACCCATACCATCCATCCCTGATCGATTGAAAACAATTTATTTTGTCTTGACGCAAAAACCGAATTTTGAAAAACGTTTTTTGACAAATTTATTTTTACCAAATTTTTGACTTTTTTGTAAGGGGGTACATCATCATTTTTTGCCGAAATTCGAAAATCTGAAAAAATTTTAACTGTGAATGCCATTTGATTGGAAATTTTATTACGAATTCAACGGTGTATGACATTCCAACATTAGACCATTATTTCCCAGGGTTTTGACACAAAACCCAAGTTTTTAATGTGTTTTTTGGGATTTTTGGCGATTTTTCAAACAAAATTTTTTCTGAAGAGTCGTTTTGCTGTAACTTTACCAAAATAAGACCCAAAGTCAAAAGAGTTGCTATTTTGAACAGCTGGCAACCCATACCATCCATCCCTGATCGATTGAAAACAATTTATTTTGTCTTGACGCAAAAACCGAATTTTGAAAAACGTTTTTTGACAAATTTATTTTTGTCCAAATTTTTGACTTTTTTGTAAGGGGGTACATCATCATTTTTTGCCGAAATTCGAAAATCTGAAAAAATTTTAACTGTGAATGCTATTTGATTGGAAATTTTATTACGAATTCAACGGTGTATGACATTCCAACATTAGACCATTATTTCCCAGGGTTTTGACACAAAAACCAAGTTTTTAATGTGTTTTTTGGGATTTTTGGCGATTTTTCAAACAAAATTTTTTCTGAAGAGTCTTTTTGCTGTAACTTTACCAAAATAAGACCCAAAGTCAAAAGAGTTGCTATTTTGAACAGCTGGCAACCCATACCATCCATCCCTGATCGATTGAAAACAATTTATTTTGTCTTGACGCAAAAACCGAATTTTGAAAAACGTTTTTTGACAAATTTATTTTTGTCCAAATTTTTGACTTTTTTGTAAGGGGGTACATCATCATTTTTTGCCGAAATTCGAAAATCTGAAAAAATTTTTACTGTGAATGCCATTTGATTGGAAATTTTATTACGAATTCAACGGTGTATGACATTCCAACATTAGACCATTATTTCCCAGGGTTTTGACACAAAAACCAAGTTTTTAATGTGTTTTTTGGGATTTTTGGCGATTTTTCAAATAACATTTTTTCTGAAGAGTCTTTTTGCTGTAACTTTACCAAAATAAGACCCAAAGTCAAAAGAGTTGCTATTTTGAACAGCTGGCAACCCATACCATCCATCCCTGATCGATTGAAAACAATTTATTTTGTCTTGACGCAAAAACCGAATTTTGAAAAACGTTTTTTGACAAATTTATTTTTGTCCAAATTTTTGACTTTTTTGTAAGGGGGTACATCATCATTTTTTGCCGAAATTCGAAAATCTGAAAAAATTTTAACTGTGAATGCCATTTGATTGGAAATTTTATTACGAATTCAACGGTGTTGACATTCCAACATTAGACCATTATTTCCCAGGGTTTTGACACAAAAACCAAGTTTTTAATGTGTTTTTTGGGATTTTTGGCGATTTTTCAAACAAAATTTTTTCTGAAGAGTCGTTTTGCTGTAACTTTACCAAAATAAGACCCAAAGTCAAAAGAGTTGCTATTTTGAACAGCTGGCAACCCATACCATCCATCCCTGATCGATTGAAAACAATTTATTTTGTCTTGACGCAAAAACCGAATTTTGAAAAACGTTTTTTGACAAATTTATTTTTGTCCAAATTTTTGACTTTTTTGTAAGGGGGTACATCATCATTTTTT